AGAGGCAATTACCCATGATGCCTAGCGACCCCATAAGTAGGCTCCCTAGCCTGGCCTCCTTCACTTTTCATCGCCACGTGTGATTGTCATCAAAGTTTTTTATAAAAAAAAAAGGGAGGGTCTCAGCAAACCCCTAAATCTAACTCAAAAAAGTGGTGGGTGTTCTCTGAGCCTCAGGCTCACTACAATTCAAATAACGTCCCTCATCCTGCACACCTGCTGGGATGAGGTAGCATTATTTTTCATTTACGTTCCCCTTCGTCTCAGAGATGTAAACAGCATGTTCAAAGCTGATGACAATCACACTGCTTGTGTGGACTATTTCACAGGATTCAACCACACAACCTCAATGGAGATGCATTCCAGCAAAATTTATTTTAAGAAAGAAAAATGCAGATCATCACAGAAGCAGACAGTGTCCCCACAAACCAGAGTGGTGCCCAAGAACTAAAAGTAGCAGGTAGTTAAAAATAGAACAAGTATGCAAAAACAACACCAGCAACTGAAGCAACGTTCATAGTAAAGGTTTTTGAAATAATTGAAGAGATCCAGCTGTATGTCTTTGGGCAAATATTTGTAAAGAAAGTGTAAAAGTTACAAGAACTAAGTCATAAACTCCATGTCCTGAATGAGCTGAAACCTGTGATGTGAAATGGCTAAAATAGCACATAGTTTGTAGGTGTAGGTAGATCATTTAAAACATGCTGTGGTAACAGTGGTGCAGAATAATAATTTCACACATTATACCTGATTTTAGGTAAAAGGACACAAAGCACATCAGAGAAAGCAAAGCTCTCTTAGTGTTGTAGGACAAAGTTTAAATTTCATATTTTTCTGAAAAACTTATTTGTAGTTTATTTTCTGAGTAACATGGGATGAGCTTTTATAAAAAAGAAGAAATATAAATAACATTTAACTAACTATTGACTTATTGATTATATTGAGCTAATCAAGACTGAAAGCTTGGTGTTATTTCTGGATTTGTATAAAGCTTTAGCTGCAGTGGAACAGCCCTTTCTGCTTAAAACCTTACATCACTTGGGTTTTGAGAAACACTTATGCTACGTAATCAAAATGTTTTACACATAGTTTCAACTTCCTTAATCCTGGAAAAACCAATATGGTTGAGGTGAAGCAAGGTGTTAAAATATAAGCAGTGTTCGTTACCCTTTACCTGTTCAGATCTAATACCAGTTAATAATGACATGTGAATGTTTGAGTGAGCCATACAAAACCATTCAGACACAGCTGTGGACTGATTAGCTTTTAATGTGCCTTCAACAGGCATCAACCAAACAGTGCCCAGAAACCCGGAAACACCCATCAAGTAACAGCCTTCTTCACATCCTGACTCCACCTCCTGACATATATTAAAGGGGCAGGCTGTCTCTACATGGAATCAGGATGTCATACATCGCTCCTCACCCTAATGGTTCATCACAGTTCTTATTTATGTGTTGTTTTTAAGTCAGACATGTATCTATCTAACAGCCTCCTGAGTCTGTCAGACCCTGCTCAAGAGCCCCACACAAATCAGTCTGCACATAAAATCATCAATTAGGTCAGAGATAACCACATTATAGAAATATATTACTGTTCACTTAATAAAAGACTATACAATGTGTAGTGGTTTTAAAAGTCATTAGTTAACACCCCAATAAATTGCTTCAAAGGTATTTGACAGGGATGCCCAATTTCCCCAAAGTTGTTCATATTGACCACTCAATTACTGGCCCTAATCATCCTAAATGATCCCAATCAGCCATAACAACCTTTGATTAAGAGTTTAAAATCAGCCAATTTGCAGATGATACAACTCTGTTTCTAAAAGAGCCAAAGATATTATTACCAAAGCCCTTAAAGGGGCAATATTATGTTTCCCAGGCATGTATTGAAATTCTAAACCATAATAAAATAACTGTCACCTTCAGCTGTTATTAAAATGCTTTTTTAAATGTTTAAATCAAAATTAAACTTGACTTCTCTTCGTATCCTTTTCTAAACACCTTGAAATTGGCCTCTGTCTCTTTAGAACCTGCTTCGGAACCCGTCACCCATTTCAGCATGTCATCACAGTCGCTTCTCTGCTGTTTACAACCTGAAGCGCCCTAGCATGCTTTGTTGTAATGATAATTTAAAAAGCAGCAACAATATACAAGATCGGTTTTGGAAAATTGCACCTCAGGATACATATGAACCTCACTGTTGGACCGGAAAGTATGTTTTCTAAAGAACTGGAGCGATTAAAGTGATGATGTTTCAGCTGGTAAGATTATTTCAGTTGCTCTCTCTCTCTCTCTCTCTCTCTCTCTCTCTCTCTCTCTCTCTCTCTCTCTCTCTCNTATTTTTTGGAAATGTTATCTCCTAACCCTGACAGTTTAACGTAAAATTAACCTGATCCTAAAACGAATCTAAACTCAATTCACACCTTGGTCACACACACACACACACACACACACACACACACACACACACACACACACACACACTTCTCTTTGGGTAGTCTGCTTCAGTTTTATTTGAAATATACCTGCTGCTTGTATCATTTGTTATCCTTGCTGCTAAAAAATAAGTGACATGTTTACATGGATCTGTAGTTATAGTGTTTACTGACAACACATCTCCACTGGAACACTATGCTGTGTTGTTATATGACTGTTCACTTTATGATGTTTTGTTTTCATATAGCACCTCAGTCCTGGAGGAACAGTATTTCATTTTACTATATACACACTTTGTATGGTTGCGATGACAATAAAACCCACTTGAACTTTAACTTTGATGAAGAGACAGAGACATCTGCAAACTATAAAGACAAAAGAGAATGAATAAGTTGGAAATAAAATTAAAAACCATGTTTCCAGGTAACCATTTTTCTACCTGTTTTAATAAAACTTGATGTAAAGGTAGGTAATATGCTGAGGAAGAATATACTGATCTGTAACTGGGCCACAAATGGGTTTTTACAAATCATTCATTTATTTGAATACCTACACCCTCCTTTCTGAATGAATAAACTTTTACCATCCATCATGTATTTTCTTCATCTATAAAATAAATAATATTATAAAAAAACTGGTCAAATTTTTATTTTAAAAATGTCAAAAATAGCTTGTCACCTTTAAATAGCTGGGAGGAGGCCCAGAGGATGACCCAGGACACACTGGAGGGACTATGTTTCTCAGCTGGYCTGGGAACACCTTGGGATTCCCTCAGAGGAGCTGGCCCAAGTGTCTGGGGAGAGGGAAGTCTGGGTCTCTCTGCTTAGGCTGCTGCCCCCGCGACCCGGCCCCAGATAAGTGGAAGAAAACAGACGGACCCTTAAATAGCAAAGTGTAATCATTGCTTAGTAACATTTCATAAAAACACAAAACTATAGCAAGAGCCTTCAGTTGTGAACGTGTTTTTCTTGAGAAGTGCCTTCTAGAAATGTCTGACACTTGTCTGTGATGAGTTGGATCATGTCTTCATAAACCATTGTCCTGTTTCTCTTCTTCCCACAGGAGTAAAGGCTGCTGTCCTCCGCTGAGACGTTTCTAATCACAAGTCTGTTTTCCATCATTGAATATTTAGTTTCAAAGTCAGGAGAGTTGCAGTGTGAGGATGTTGAGGAAAAAGTTTGTCCAGTTTGTGCTCTGATCTTGTTGTGGATCTCCATGAACCAGTTGATGTTGTTAAAGTTAAATGAAACTTAAAGCATCTTTAACTTCCTGTTTTACTTCCTGCTAGTCGGATTTTTGTTTTTTAATAAAGTTTATTAACTCATTATAGAATACAAAAATCTCGTAGAGGATACAAGTTCAAAAATCACAAGAAAGGATAAAAGTAACATCGTGGTAAAAGAAGAGGGGGAGGGGGGAGTAAATAAAGTGCACAATCCTTGAATATTTGAACAATAAAACACAATAACAGCACAGGAGTGTGGGCTACATGAGGCATAAAATAAAATAATAAAAAAAATGTCAAAGATCTTTGCAGAAATGTTAGATTTCTGGCCCTTGAGTGAAATAGTCCATCAATAGTCATACACATGAGACATCTATATATATCCCACCAGCCTAAGAAAATAATGAGATAGTATTAAAGGGGCAATATCCTGTAAAATTAACTTTTTTGAGTTTTGTATCATGTTATAATGTTATCCTCTCATCAAAAACATGCCCAGAGTCTTACTTTGACTCGTTCATGCATGCTTGAGAAATCCTGTAGTGTCGTGAGGCAGCCAGGCAGGGGAGCAAAAACAACTGGTTGGGACTAGAACCGCCTTTTGGGATCAGCTCCTCCTCTGGCTGTGTCTCCGAACAGAAATTTCTCATCACATAACACACCTCCCCACCCCCCCACGGCCCACCCCGCGACTCCTGCAGGCTGTCGGCAGGAACAGAGGAAACAATGAACACAGGTGAAACCGCGTCTGTAGCTCCAATACTAACAGCTTCTCATTTCAGTCCTTTTCAGATTAAACACCATTGTCACATACCCAGGTAAGCTGAAAAACAACTCGTGTTTTGTTTACATCGTTGTTTGTTCTGTGTTAAGATTTGTAACTTATTATGATCAGAGTGTGTGTGTGTGTGTGTGTGTGTGTTCTGAATGCTTTACCTTTTACCAGATGGTAGGAGGGAGAAAAGGGTGTGTGAGGGACATGTGGGCTCATCCACAACGCTGAATGCTTTGCAGATGTAGCATGTGGTTATAGATGGGAGAGAGAGAAACAAATGACCACCTAGCCTTAAGGCCTTGTCGCACTACCATGTAGACAACTCATGCCAACTTGTGAAAAGTTTTTCCAACACTAAAGATGTCAAAGCTGAAGACGGAACTAAAATGAAATACAATGGAAGCCTCTTTTGGACCATTACATACATGCTGACAATTACATTGAATTTAAGGTTGAAAGGAGTAAAATAATTGTAACAAAATTTTGATAAGTTGGCATCAGGGCCTTTATCTACCACTCAGTCCTCATTGTCTCCATCCTGGTGTCTCTAACAGCAGGTCAGTGAGTTAGTGAGCAGCTGATGAAGATGAAGGTCTGAAGGTAAAATCCTGCTGCAGCCTGCAGGGGGTGCCACAGACCACTAACCTCTGCAAGAAAACCATTTTCATTGCCTTTGTCAGAAACTCCACCTCCAAGCTCAAATCTCCTCTACCTTCAGACTTGGTGCTGACTCCTCCACCTTTCAGACCCACACCTGGCTGCTCCACTATGGTTGCTGCTGCCTGGTCCCCCTGCCTCCCCCGGCTTGCTGCCAGGACACTCAGACATGGACCCTGGATCAAGAGGAACCTGAATGTCCAGGCTGTAAAGCTAAGGAGCCTGGAGGATCTGCCAGGACCCAGCTGGTCCACCACCCTGTACTGGATATTTGCCAAAGGGTACTCAGAGAAAAAGCACCTACTGCAGGTATTTCTGATTCTTCTGGAAGGCTTCTAGTGTTACAGCATATTTTACAAAAAAAAAAGAAAAGAAAAAAAGAATCAAAACATTTACCAACCTGCTGGCACAGGAATGTGGTTAGGATTCTTTAGTGTTTACATACACACACACACACACACACACACACACACACACACACAC